GGCTGTGATCCATGAAGTGCAGAGGATAGCTAACACTGCTCCACTTAGTGTCTTTCACTGTACGACTAAAGGCACAGAGCTCATGGGATATTCTATTCCCAAGATAAGTTTTTGGCAATAGTGCTGTGGAAACAAACCTCACAGTACTGTAAAGCAATTGTTGGTACCATACTTTACTTGACTTATTCCTAGATTCACTTAAGCTACCAAAGTATATAAAGTAATGGCACAAACATTACTTTTACTTAGGTAACTTAAGTAAATCTTAACTTCTTACAAATGTTTTGTACCTTCCTGTATTTTCTCCTCAGGGTACAATGATCATCCCTGACCTGACCTCAGTGTTGAGTGAGGAGGGACAATGGAAATTCTCTCATGAATTCAACCCTGAAAACTTCCTCAATGACAAGGGAGAGTTTGTTAAACCAGAGGCCTTCATGCCTTTCTCCGCAGGTATGAGAGAGAACAACAAACAGCAGTATGGGACTTGTTATTGTATCACACCTGCAGTGACATGCACAGATTTTAATCAAACCATTATAGAGGTATTTTTTTATGTCTCAGGTCCTAGGATGTGTCTTGGAGAGGGTCTGGCTCGTATGGAACTCTTCCCTCGTCATGGTGACGCTGCTGAGGAAGTTCAAGTTCATCTGGCCTGAGGATGCAGGGGTGCCAGACTACTCTCCGGTCTATGGGGTCACTTTAACTCACAAACCTTATCAAATGAAGGTCCAACACAAGGCAATGCAGTAAGGCGGTCTGTAGACACATGGTACATGGCACCAGTGGAGACCCAGATTAACACAAGGCAAGGCAAGTTTATTTTTATAGTACATTTCAACAACAAAGTAATTCAAAGTGCTTTATATAAAACATAAAAGCAACAGGGAATTATAAAAAAGTTTTAAAAGTTAAATAGAAAATAAAAACAGGCTGGTCTCCCACCTTTGCTTATTTTACTCCTTTGATTCCCCATCTCCCACTCTATCCCCCCTTTAGTTACTTAGGGACTCTAACCCTAAGGGGACCCTAACACTTTAACACTTAGGGACTCTTACCCTTCCTTAGATACAGTCGTTACTGTAAATCCAGATTGACCACGCTACAAACTCTTGTAAAAGCGGTTGAGAAGCAGCCATTAAACTCCTGAGAACAAATATGCTGAATACAATACAGGGCTTTTTGTTCTACGCTTAATGACGAGTTAACAGTACACATAGTGAAATGTGCCAAAAGGTGGGTGAGCATACTTATGGCACCCCAGAATAAATATTATTTGATGTTTTGACCTACCACTAGATCCTGCAGTGGGTATCAGGCTTTGCTATCATTTATCTACTGAGCCTCCTTTACAGGTGAAACCACAGGTCTAACACAGCCCTGCCTTGACGTACCTTAAAGCTGCTGTTAAATCTAAAGTTAAGAACAGATACTTGGCAGCTTGACAGGCCTTACTTAGGTTCTAAAATATTAATGCCATGGCCCGCTCAGTAGTACAGCCACCTCACTGTATCTGGTTCCACTAGCCTTATCAATAGCCATTTGTTAGCAACCCACTGGAAAATAGTTTCACTATAACTGTGTATGAATGAGTTAAATGAGGACCAGACAGAGATCTTTCTCATTGGCCTCCTACATCATACAACTGTCACTGCCCAGTTCATCATCTTTCTGTCCACACATACCAAGAACCTGGGTGTTACATCTAATGGCGAGGTTTAAACAGGCAGGTAAATTTCATCATCAGGTCCAGCTTCTTCCAAATCAGGACCATCTCCAAAATTAGGAAGCAATCTTCTGATCTATGAAATGAAAGAATGAAAGAGTCATTCATGCATTAATATCATCCAGGCTAGACTATGTAACGCCCTCTACCTAGGCATCTCTCAGGCTATTCTCAGTTTACAACTAATCCAAGTCATGATGTGGAAACAATATGGACGTTTTTGTATAGCATCTAGGTGATATTGTGTTATTTATGTGATACTGCTATTTAAGAATGCTGAAACAATTTGAAGCTTTATATTAGTGATTTTCTCTCAGATTTGTTGCTCCACTGCATTGCTTAAAACCACTAAAACATTGCTTTACCTGAATTGTTATCAGGGTTAATGCTAATAAATAGCTAATCTAGGTCTCTTTACGTCAATAGCCTAATAAACCTAGAACCTAATAACATATAACCCATACCAGATAACATATGCACTACGTGAATTCAGCATTTACTTTGGTCCGTCATGTTTCTGCGTAATATGGCATCAACTCAGCCCATATGACAGTTGAAACAGGTTTTACTTGCTCTCATCATGGGCCATTAACAGATCCCTTTTTAATGCATTTTCAATGTAAGTGATGGGGAACGAAGTCTACAGCCCTCATATTGTGCAAAACTGTATTCCAAAGGTTATTTGAAGTTAACCACTTGACGCCAATTGTTGCGAATTTGCATCATACCTCTTCCTTGCAGACTGCAAGCCAAGATAGCACATGGATTCCCCCAATGCCTGTAGGTGCATATTCAATACGTACCTAGGAACCTTTTGCAAGCCCTGAGTTCTCGTTTATACCTTTTGTCGCTAATTTGCATCATACCTACACATACCTGAATTTATATCTTTTCTATGTTCTATAGACAAATTAACAATCGTAACTTAATTTAACATCAGCTTTAAAGCAAATGACAAAAAATAATTTTTTTTAATATTTTGATTCAGGAGTTAAGGGGTTAATATGAGGTTTCAACAGTCTGAGTTAGACAAAGCTTGTGGATATCTTCCAAAGTTCCACTGTTTTTAGCATATAATTCCCTCTTTGCATTTCCCTGGACAGTCTTTCCTGTTGAGCTGCATTGGAGGATAGTAACACCAAGAGGGAATTTTGTATTAAAGACATATCTGTAGTTGTCTCTGTTACTGTGGATTCTATTGAAGTCCTCTACCTGCTCGTTGTTAATTCCATTCCAAGGTCAATAGTTGGGGATCCTGTCATCTTCCACTTATGCTCTTGCCGACTCTCGAGGTAAGCTCTTTTTCTTATTTGCTGTAAATGGTGCAGCCTATCAAACTGCTGCCACCATGAATTGCCAGACCATGTTGGCCCCACTGGAGTCTATTTCAGCTGTCTTTCCAGGCCATCACTTGGTCTTTCCCTAGTTGTCAGGTGCCCTATTCACTGCAGTCACAAGCTCGTGCTATTTAAACAATCGTTACTCATTGAAGAAAACTACTCTTTTCACCAAATTCCACCTACATTCGTCACCTACATAGTATGGAAACAGTCTTAGTAAGAGTGACTATCCTGGTCCTACCTTACCTAACTGCTGCTTTCAATACAGTTGATCACTGCACTCAACTGGCTTTCATCCTAATCGACAAACAAGAAATTTCAGATAATCATAGACAACATTGTGTCCTCAACAGCGTATACTCTGTAGGGTTCAATCCTTGGTCCAATTCTTCTCTCACTCTACCTGTTACCTCCAGGCAACCTGGTTAGCTAGTTCACTTGCATCTCCCACGACTGCTATGTTGATGACATGCAGCTGTATTTTTCAGTTAAGCCATGCGATCTTGGTAACATTGGTGCCCTCCATGACAGTCTGGCTGCTATAAAGGAATGGATATCACTCAACTTCTTTCTGCTAATTCCAGACAGAAGTGAGGTTTTCCTTCTTGGTCCTAACGAGTTTGTCTCTGACGTGAAACCCTGTATTGGCCCTCTTGGCATCAATGTTAAACCCTCCTCGAAAAACCTGGATGTAATCTTTGAGAAAAACCTGAACTTTTACCTTCAAATAAATATGCTTCTGTAAACATGCTTCTTCGGACTCCTGAACATTGCAAAAACCAACGCTAACAACCAGAGAGCTAGAATTACTAATTAATAATGTAGACACAGAATCCATACCCATTTCTCAACGTCATGACTTGAGCCGGCGCTGTCCTATCTGCAGACCTTAGATCCTACATCGTATCTTATTTACTGTGACAGCTTACAATACACATAGTGAATTATGCCAATCAAGCATCATATCTACCAATCTTCCAATCAAGTCAAGACATCATATTATATTTGTTTAGGTTAAGCTTTTAGTGCACAGTGCATCTATCACGTAGATAATTCTTACTGCAAACTCGTGTAATTCATTGAGATGTCCTCCCACAAAGAATGAAAGCGTCAGACATTTGAGCAAGTGCCCCAAAACAACATGTGTTTACATTGAAGTGACAAAGCCGCCATAGCGGCCGTGGTTCTTATGTGAGCATGAGGAGGTCAAGTGACGATGTTATAGAACAACAAAGTCCACATAAGGGAGCAGCTTGAGGTGAATGGATGTGTCAGCAAACATCAGACTTCAACAAGAGAGACTGCTGTATGTTTCTCATTTTAAACCAAGAGTCAACTGTATTATTTTTAAAGTTTCACAAAGATTTATTACTGTAACCATGTCAACAAGGCCCCTAACCTTAATGAAATAGTTATTTTAACCCAAACCATGATGTTTCTCTAAACGAAACTGTTTTTATGCTGGCCAAACCTTTAACCATGGAGTTGAAAAAGAGATCATAAAACAGATTTATTTTTTAACAGTAATTGCAAACAGTTTTGAAATGAACAGACAAATGATGTTGTCGTGCCAATAGGGTGTCAGATCAGAAAATGCTTGTAAACTTACTAATTACTCATCTATAGAAATGACATTATTTAAAATGTATATTTACTGTTTTCCATGACATGCTTTGATGTATCATTGATTGATAATGGATTATGTTTTAGTCAGGTGTTTAACATTCCTTGCATTAGTAGTTTAATGATATGCATTTATCAGTTTAAAAAAATAAACTGCTACAATATCTTGTCTTCCCATTATGTTTCTTTTTTGGTTGATAGACTGTACATTAAACACTATATGGCAGAAATAAATGAATACATACGGTGGTGCGGTGACAGTGTTCTCAATTGCAGCCTAAAAGGGTTTATTTTTCTCAAAATGATGATAGAGTAGAATTATCTGACACAGTGTAAACTATACAAACACTGTTTTGCACAACTAAAGGAACAGAAAGATGGTATAAAAACAAACTTCATAAAAGGTATTACAGATTCATTGTGGGGCTGTTTTGGGCTATTCAAGTGTACCTAATAAACATAATTGAGAGAGAGCCCAGAGCAGGTCCAGAGCAGGTCCAGTGGGGGGAATCCAGGCGGGCTGGGGAATCCAGAATCCAAGCAGAGCAGGAATGGAGCGAAGACAGGAGTCAGGTTTCCGGCAGGGAGTCTGCACACAAAACAACAGGGTTAGGGGGTGTTCAATATGACAAGATCACAAAATGCAAAGGCTAGAAGATAGACTGACTGAGCAGTTTTAGACTAAAATCTGGCGATGAATTGCAGGGACGATCAGTTATATATGGACAGGATTGATTGATGATGATTGTAAAGATGAAGCGCGGCCGGGACTTGACTCCCATGCACCTGTAATTAAACCACATACGCACAGGGGGAGGGAGAGAGAGAGACTTGCTCACCGGGCTGCGGCAGGCCTGACAAATATGATTGTAGCAATCACATCCATCGACTTCCACTGCATACTGAAACTGCCCTTTTCAGTGTTCACTGTATTTCTAGGATGAAGGAAGGCATGTGAGTGTGAACTGAAGCAGTTTTGGGTGTCACTGTCTGTGGTGCAGATTTAATATCCTAAAACAGATTTTCCTTGCTATCTTTTAAAGAGTTATAACTTTACTTTGTGTCTTTTCACCCTCATGGTATGGACAACATTTAGAATGGGTTTGCCAGTGACAGTATAGTTTGATTATAGATTATGTAAATGTTAACAGAGTTCGGCTTTGAATCTGGGGGAGAGAAGAAATGACAACAGATAGTTAATGGCTTCCTCAAGTGGACATCATTCTGTAATGGATATAACATTCAAGTTTATTTTGAACTTGAAGCCCTTATGTATATACCTCGATGTAGATAGATAGATTATGCAAATATTATATACATATTTCAGATTATTTCCAGATGCTAGAACCGCATCCATCTTTATCTGACTCAAGCTCAGATCATCATTTTGGCCACTCAATGGGTAATTCTTAATGTAATTCAAAAACTGTTAGAATAACCTAAATTGTGTTGGCTGTTGTGCAGTGGTCGCCTCACAGCAAGAAGGTGGTGGATTCAAACCCCGGTTTCTGTGTGGAGTTTGCATGTTCTGTCCGTGTGGGTTCTCTCCGAGTGATCCGGCTTCCTCCCAACATCCAAAAACATGCAGGCTAATTGGTGTCTTCAAAATTGTCCTTAGGTGTGGATGTGAGTGGTTATTTGTCTATATGTGGCCCTGCGATGGACTGGCGACCTGTCCAGGGTCTACCTCGCCTTTCGCCCGATGTCAGCTGGGATTGGCTCCAGCCCCCGTGACCCTGTACACAAGATAAGCGGGTGACGATGGATGGATGGATGGACGGACCACCTATATGCAAAATATTCTACAAAGAGACAGTCTTATTTTTGGATAATACTGTACTTAATTAATATGATTTAAAAAACATGGATTTTGTTCACTGTAGTTCATTAATAATGTAAGCAGCGCAAGCTGCTTACTGGAAATAAGCACAAAATGCTGTGCTGCTGTTGTTCTAACTGCCAGCCTTTCCCAATGAGCTTAGCTCTTAGCAAATAGGTCAAAAACATTCCTCATGGGTGACTTATTCTGTCATCATATCCTTAATTATTTATCAGCATTGAAATCCAGGGGGAAAGAAGTTCTTCAGAGTGACACAGTTCATTCTGTTAGGTGAGAAATATTTGTCAAAGTGGATATATCAGTAATATCTGCTTAAAAGTAAGTTCACACATTCTACTGCTACCCCTCCTAATAACTTATTGACTGATTATAGTGGATGATGAGTGCACTGCATAGAAGGTCATATCACCTAAGTCCCAGTTATTATCTACTGTGTCTCTGTCCCCATTTGGTGTTTTTATTGGTTCTAGGCCTGGGGATGTCATCGGTGGACTGCAAGCTTTGATGGAAGCCCTGGTCAACAAAGCTGCCAACTTCTCTGGCAGACCACCAGACCTAATGGTTAATCCTAATGTACAAGTAAAGGGTACAGGACAAGTTCTTTTTTTTTTGTCTGTGCTGAGTGATTTTTTAATTCCAGTGTATGCCATCATTCATTGTATTGTGATAAGTTAACCTGTGCTGTTTAGCATTACAGTTTTTCTCGATTGCTTAAACACTAAAACCAGGCTTTTGAAGTTTAAAGTTTCAAAACCATAACGCCATTTATCACAAGACACCCGTTTCCCTAACCTATAAACACTATTCCCTGTTTTGACACATGATTCAGATTTGTTGAACTGTCACTGCAAAACTACACACAAATCTCTTAATTTGTCATTGTCTACACCATGTGGTCGTTTGGAAAGCACTGGAAACATTCAATATTGTTCACTCAAGTCAGCACAGCTTGAGCTCAATTAGCACACAGCTACCCAGGTGGAAACACAGAGTCATAAATGATAACACACCAACCAGAACCTTAAATAGATTGATAAAAAGGCCACAGTAGGAGTAGGGGGAGGAGGAGGAGGAGGACAAGATTCTCTAGCCTGTCCCAGACCAAAGACAGGATGCTGGGGCAGAATAATTATTTTTTGTTGCTTGGTGTATTGTACTATACAGTGGAAAATGGACGCTTTTAGGTGAGAAGTTATGGATTTGTGTTTGAGAAGGAGGGATAATTTAAAGAAAAGCAATTGAGAAAAACTGTAATGTCACTGTTGAGTTGTTGCTCTGATGTCACATGGGTCCATACACAACCATTTATTACATGCAGTGGGCCCCCTTCCTTTTTTAATACATCTATTGTGCCTGTACCAGCAAGTGAACACATGCATCTGTTGTGGTTATTAGAGTTATCATTAATGAACTGTATGAAACGGTGGCTTTAGAATAATATTGTTACTCTGGCCTCCACACTGAACAAGGGTTACTATATTACTGACAAATAAATAAGAATTTATTGGAATCAAGTTTTCTTTGCAGAAATAAGGTTAACTTGTTTCCCAGCTGCTTGCCCGCTCTGTTTCGACAGAAATATCATAATAAAAGTCTATAATCCGTACATACTTATAATCCATACACAGTATATGCAAATAAAGGCAGGAAAGACTAGAAACAAAATCAGAATCATCGCTCTCAAACTGAGTTAATAGTGTTAATATACGGAGTAATGTTAAATAATAACTCAGTGTATGTTATAAAAATGTTCTGATGCTGCTTAAGATTGACCAATGTATAACATAACACTTAACAACCAGGCGCCTAACAAACAAACATTTGTACTCTAACCAAGGGGGGTGTAGGGTAGGCCTACCACTACAGGAATTATTAAGTACTGCATAACAAGAGACATTAATTTAACAATTACATAATGTAAGAAATTCATCATGGTCTGCGTTAGGTTATGCTTTTTCCTGTCTTTCCTTAAGTTTATCTCGATTGCTTGAACACATTTCTTGAAATTATGCCTCTTTTTCTTGAAACTTTAAACATAAATCCACAACAAATACCTCCTATTTTCAGTTCAAAATGAAGCTCTCCACTTGAAACCATTAAATTTTGCTGAAAAAACACATTTTGCCCTCAGGAACACACACACCACAACACAATCTTATACACTGGTGAGATAAAACAATACTACAAAAACTGGTTATAAGTAATGCTGCTTGTGCCCCTCAAAAACCTCTCACATGATGAACACAAAAGAAATTTGCACACATTTTTCATTCCTTAGTGTACTGTACAGTACACCACACCAATCAACAAATTATTCTACCCCAGTGTCCTGTCTTTGGTCTGGAACAAGCCAGACATCCTTGTTCTCCACCTCCTTCTTCACCTCCTCCTCCGCCCTGCTCCTGCTCCTGCTCCACCTCCTCATCTTCCTCCTATCCCATCTTCTGCTCAAACTCCTACTGTTCCTCTACCTTCACCTCTAAAGATGATGATACACGGAGCCACCTTTAGAGCAATGGTGCTGGGCAATGTTGTCGTCAATGGTAATGAGTAAATATTACATTATAACGGTTGTTATAATCACTTACAAACATGCATTAGGTGCTATAGCAAAGTTCATAATGTATTATAAACTTGTGATTTAATGTTTTATAACTAATAGTAATACCAGTTTATATTATTGTGCGCCAAGAATCTCCAACCATGTTCCATAACACATTATAACCACCGACTCTGCCTTGTTATATACAAACTTTTTTTTTATGAAATGTTAGTGAAATATAAAATGGAATAATAGCTGATAGTAATGTTTAAAGATATACAGCATGTCTTTGTTTGCTTTAAATAAAGTGTTAAAATATCTATCCCATTATAATATATTACAAGTGGACATAATACCATATGAACCAATTAAGACCTTATAACACGTAATTGTTTGCTTTCAGTAAAGTGACACACATTTTGCGCAGGAAAACTTTTATTTATATTTCTTCACTTTATGAACAATCTGTATGAATTTTGAACATTTTTTACTTCTTTAAGCAGCCTAGTTGGTATGGGGTCTAAGAGGCAGGTTGATGGTTTAGATGAAGAAATTATTGTAGTTAGTTGGTAAAGTTTGAGGGAAGCAAAGCAGTCTAAACATATATCTGGTTCTACAGCTGTTTCTAGGGTTCCTGAGTTTAGAGATAAGTTGGTGCCAGTTAAGGGCAGGTCTTGGTGAATTTTGTTTCTAATAGTTAGAATTTTATCATTAAAGAAGCTCATGAAGTTGTAACTACTGAGAGCTATGGGAATACTTGGCTCATTAGAGCTGTGACTCTCTGTCAGCCTGGCTACAGTGCTGAAAAGAAACCTGGGTTGTTCCTATTTTCCTCTATTAATGACGAGTAGTACGCTGTTCTGGCATTACGGAGAACCTTCCTATAAGTTTTAAGACTATCTTGCCAAATTAAACTTTTAAATAAAAATTTTCCAGTTTGGTGGAACACCAATTCCTCTCAAGTTTCCGCGATATTTGCTTAATTTGTGAGTTTCACTATTATACCATGGAGCTAACCGTCTTTGTTTTATTATTTTCTTTTTTAGAGGGGCTACAGAGTTGAGTGTCATTCGCAGCGAGCCTGCAGCACCATCAAGAAGATGATCGATTTGGGAGGGACTGAAATTAGCATAGGAGTCCTCTGTTACTTTGTGACTTGATAATGAATTTAGAGCTGATGGAATTGCATCCTTAAATTTAGCTACAGCACTATCAGACAGACATCTTGTATAGAAATTTTTGCCCAATGGCATGTAGTTCAGCAATACAAACTCAAAAGTTATCAAACAGTGGTCAGATAAAGAGGGAACACTGTTGAATGTTCAATTTCAATACCATACACCAAAACAAGGTCGAGGGTGTGGTTAAAACAGTGAGTCGGTTCATGAACACTAACAGAGAGATAAACGCAGTACTGAAGCTCATTCTCAACGTCCACATGAATATTAAAATCCCCTACAATAATAACTTTGTCCGTTTTAAGGACTAAAGTTGACAAAAACTCTGCAAATTCAGATAAGAATTCAGAGTACAGACCAGGTGCTCGGTACACTATAACAAAAAGAATTGGTTGCAGTGATTTCCAACTTGGGTGCGAAAGACTAAGAACAAGGATTTCAAATGAGTTATAGTTTAGTTTAGGTTTAGCGCTGATTAGTAGGCTAGAGTTGAAGATAGCTGCAACTCCACCTCCTCGGCCTGTGCCTCGAGGAATGTGAGTATTAATCTGACTGGGAGGGGTGGATTCATTTAGGCTAACATATTCTCCATCACCCAGCCAGGTTTCAGTAAGACAAAATAAATCAATATCATAATCTGATATTAGTTCATTTACTAGTACACCTTTAGAAGAGAGAGATCTGATGTTTAAGAGTCCACATTTAAGCTTAACATTAACATTTAGCGTCTGCACGCTGGGGGGGCTGGGCCCCCCTGGACCCGTCCTGGGGATGGGCGGGGTTGTCGCTGACTCTGGGGTGCTGCCGGTGCTAGAGGGGCTCTTGCTATAAGCCCTGGGCTGGAGGGACCTGGCATCCTTCTGCTTAGGGGGTGGGGGACGGACTGAATGAATTATGGAGCCAGTCAGGAATCTGGTCCCAGTGAGGAGGACCATTCTAGCCTCCCTATGACCTCCTTCACCTTTCCCCCTTTGGTCATGTCTCACAACATACTTAGGACCCTGGGGGGCTGCAGGGCGTTTGGTGGGT